AATTAGACAAATCCCAGGGCCAACAATAAGTTGGGGAGAGCTCCATAAAGCTAAAAAGAAATTGACTGCTTTGTCTGCTCATTACAAGTAGACTAGAGAGAGCTAATGAAATATATTATATGGGGGGGGGGGGGGGGCAAGGAGGTTGGAAGTAGGCAGGAAAGTATAGGATATCAGTCACCGGCAAGACAAAACAATCTTGCTTTAGACCACCCATCACATGTTGGCGGTTTGTAGACCTCAGAATTTCTCTTTCTTTCTGTTCTAAGTTCTAACCAACTGCGAAAAACAAAATTCCGGGCATAACTGCCTTATGACCATAAGAGTGCATCCTTTACAGCCAGTCCCGCTGCGTATAATAAGACTTTATGACCTTTATTCCAATTGTCAGCGCTATGGTATGAGCAAATTAAATACTAGCAGGAAGAGGCTTCGTTTATAAGGCAAAAAAAGGGCCAACAAACCTTTATAAAGGCTCCAATGATGCATGGGCATGATTGCCTGCTTTCCAAAGATCCACTTTGAAAGATGGCTTGCTCATTTGTGCAACTTGTGGGCTGTGTCTCCCGCTTCAAACGTTAGACGAACTTGTTGTCTGGTGCATACAACGACAGTGTCATTGGTTTACACTGTAAAAGTGCGTACTAAGATCGAGTTAATTTCATGAGCCTCGTGGTGGCATGCTTAATTTATTGGGCGAGGAAAAAGTGCTTCTGCTTCACGCAATAACGCTGGTGTAGATTTAATACGCGCTTATACGACTCTATTCATAGTTTGTAGAGTGTCATATTGTGTAAAGTGTCAGTCGTGGTGGAAGAACTACAACACCGAATCCCTCACTCACACTCCCTCCTCCTCGTCCTCATCATCCAACTCAAGTCTATACATATGATTACCTGTTGTCCATCACGCATCAAATTATGTAATCATCACCTCTAGGTCCCATGTATCCCACCCCTCTCTAATCAATCTTTTTTCTAATTTTTTTATTAGGCTTCGTTCGGGTTAAAAAATTGATGAAGGATTTTAATTCTATCCAAATCGCTCTAATTGTTTGAATTATTTAAGAAACATTTGAGTTTACAATTCATTGATTATCTAAATGCATCTTAAACACTACTTTTGGCCCTATTTGAAGTTACGGTGCATTTACAGAAAAAAAAAATTTAAGTAATAAAAATATTTTTAAGGATGTTTGGTAATTAATTTCTTGTAATTTAAGTAGCCAAATTCTGGCACCTTAAAAAGTACTTTTTCTCAAAGATTAGTTGTATCTGAAATGCTTTTTTATAAACTACCGCGGCCCCAAACGAGGCCTACTTGGTGATTTACAAATCAAAATACCTCTTGATTAATGTAAACAACTAGAAGGGTTTGGATGAATTTCGAATCATTTTTGAAATCTCTCAATCCAAATATAAGCTTTCGTACGACTGTCATGCTCATCCTTAACAAAAAGAAAACTCAATTGTCAACGCTCTTAATGTTAACCTTAAAGAAAATGTTCATATTTGGATGCATCCAATTTTCAAAACTCAATAGCTCAAATTGGATCACATTATCTTACTAAACTCTGCAATATAATCTAGATCATTGGATTTTTAAATATTGTGTCTACCCAAGTTTGGGCCTAAATAATAAAGTATAGGGTTTAATGATGCAGGAGCACATAGGCGGTAATGAGTCATCTCTTCTTTTTCGAGAGTATTCTTCATGTGGAGGTCAATTGTGGATTTATCCGCCTCGACACCGTCTTAGACTAGGGCCGTGGTACCAGAAAGCATCCCCAAGACCTTTTATTCAAAAGGACTAAAGATCGAATTCTGAAGAGGCCCCCTCAAGTACTACCACGGCCCTTGCCTGAGACGGTGCCGAGGCGGACAAATTCACAGTTGCCCTCCACACTTCAACTCGAGCTAAAACCCCACTCTATCACAGGCACTTAATTCACCCCAGCCGCCATCCCTAATCTCCATCTGAGCGTCCAGAAGGTCGCACTGGCCTGAGCTCCAAAATCCATAAACGGATGAGTGGAAAAAGAGTACATGCTGCAATTATCGTTTGGCTGAACTTTTAATACTTTCATTTAGTTTGTTGGAATATTATATATAGGTCTAAATTGGACGTAAACCACAAAAAAAAAAAAAAAAAAAAACTGATCCGTCGCGATTTCAGGGGAGGATGGCGGAGCGCTCTCTAGCCTCCATTTAAAAAAAAAAAAATTCGGGATAGTAAAGGAAATCGAAAATTTCAAAATCGGTAAATCGAAAAATGGAGTGGAAATCGGGTTTTTATTTTCGAATTATATGAATTTGGTTCGAATTCTGTTATGATTTTCTCAAATCTGGATTTTTAATTTCGAAATCAAAACTTGAATAACTATTTCGATTTCAAATTTGTATGTTATATATATATTATATGTAATATAAAATTTATATTATATAATAATACATCTATATAACAATACAATAATCAGTCTTATTAAGTTAGTTGTATATTATGTTATAATTATAAACATATATTATACAAAAGTTAGCATTTAGTTTAGCAAAAAATATGTATAATTATAATACAAAAATTGAATTAGTTGAAATTGGTTAATACTGAATTTTGAATTGAATTCGATACGAATTCGAATACGATTATGTAAAATCGAAATTGAAATTGATCAAATTTTCTGATGTCCAAATTTTTCAAAATTTCAAATTATCGAATTTGATTTCGATACACATCCTTACTTCAGATCAACCATTTTTAACAAATTTCTTTTTTGGCCAAGAAACGTTCACATGATTCGTTGCCCCCCCACTTCCGTGTACAAAATCATAAAGTACTACTATAATAAGAAGAAAGAAGATACAGATGATTAGAGAGTAATCGACTCGAGATAGATTTTAGCCGAAAATTATTCATTTATTGGGTAGCTCTTGTAACCCGCATTAATTCTGCATCAAAATTATGCATTTGATTATTTCAATTCGATTATGCTTGGCAGGCATAGCTCAATCAAGAATGCGCAATCGTGCCTTATCAAGCTCGAGTTTGATTATGGTAGAATTTGCGATTTTGCTTTACCTAGTTTTAGCAAAATACGTGCGTGTCGGTTATTGAAAAATGAAGTATATTCAAAAGTTCAATTAACTCACGAGTACCTAATTAAGCTGGTCTTGATTGGTTGTTTGAGAGGTTCGCATGAGATGGGTTTAATTAAAATTGAATTTTGCACCAAATGGAGCCCAAGGCTCTGTTTGGATTGTAAATTATTTGAGATATTTTTACTGTAGCACTTTTTGTGATGTGATGTCTGTGAGATAAAAAGGTAATTGGGAAGATAAAAAGGTGCGTTGGAAATTGTAATGATGATGTAAGTAAATAAATTTTAGCTAATAAATCTCTATCCAAACAAACCCCAAGTTGATTTATCCACGACCCCTAAAATCGAACACAAAGCGGCGAGGGAACTCAGGGAAGTTGATTTATCACACAGTTTCTATCAGTTGAGTTGAGTTGGTTGAAGCATACGCGTCTCTCACCCACCGTCTATCTGTCTATCCTTGTGGACAATAACCACAAACAGTTTCTATAAACCCGTGAACCACTAGGCGTAATATTCAAGATTTTTTTTTATTGTAGTTCTACTAGTTTTACCCGCTTTGCTTCTTATTATTTGGCCTTCTCCTTGTAGTATACTGCTGCCTCTTTCACACGGGGGTATGTTTGGCAAGTAAGTTTTTGATCAAATTTATCTGTTATAAATTTTTGAATAATTTTATTTATAATAATCTCAAAAAACTTTTCAAAATTTTTAAATCATACACTTTAAAAATTTACACACTTAAAAAAATTTTCCTACAATTTTTACAATAAACTACATTAAAATTTTAAATAAACATTTAAAAAATTCACTTATCAAACGAGATCTAGGAATCTTCCCCTCCCCTGTCCCCGGGGATTATTAAGTGTTACTGTTTCTATCCCCTGATTCACCAATCAAGAAAAGACAAAAAGAGTAGTATAACAACCTCCATTGAGTAATGAAAGACGTTCACAGCCATTTAGTCTATTGATCACTATCCAGACTTAAAAAGTATTAATTATTGATAGAAGATTAATGATTCAAACCTTAATTTTCACCGATTATTATTTATGATTTATCATTTTTAGTGGCTTTCTTTTACTGTATTTTCGGTCGGCTAGCGACAAAAAAAAAAAAGAAAAAAGAAAAAGACCAATGGAAGACGACGTAGGTGAAGAAATTTATCATCTTGAATTGGGCTACTGCCACTGGCAACTGGCTATGGCCCCAATGTTTGCAGCAATGGTCAAATGAAAGTAAATAAAGCGTGGAAAACAGAATACAGAAGAGTGTGGGCATTATTTCCCACGGCTCGCAGTAGCGAATTCAAAGACCTGCTTTATTTTTTCCACCTATCTCCCACTGTCTTCTCTTTCTTCTGCATTCTGCAACAGACTTGGAAAAAGCGCACTATTAAAGATAAAAAAAAAAAAAAGGAGAAAGCAATGCTCCATTTAGGATCAGTACCACTGACTGGCTAAATGAGTGAAAGAGCATCAATTATCGATCAACACAACCCCTGCACGCACGTGACAAAGACCAACACCTAATAATATGTACTCCTACTGCTGCTCTCCAGCAAGCAATAGTTCTCTCAACTGGTAAGTACTATATTACCCAAATGATGAAACAATTCATATATTCATTTTGATATCACTCTATTATATCAGTCCTTCCCCTTTCTCTTCGCTCGCTCGCTCATTCATTCTCGCTCCTTAGCTAGTAGCTGGCTTGATCTCCTTTTGTTTTTGTTTGTGCGTGTCCTTTGCAATCATATCCATAACTAGACAAAGGTCCCCCGTCCCCACTCATCAACCAATTGTCCTTCACTGATCTTTCTCAAGCCTCTGTTTGTGCATGAATTCAGTTTCACACCTCCACTGAGTTCAAAAGCAGACGACCCTTTGGTCTTCCCACTCTATATAACTCTCTCGATCCCTCCTCCTCCATTCTTCTCTTGCCAACCCACAAACGAAAATATGGGAGATCTCAAGTTCTCGAGATTGTTTCTAGTGGTGACTTTTCTTGTGTTTCTGGGTGTCTGCCGTGTCTCCGTGGCAGCATCCGCTGTACAGCAGAAAAAGAATACCTACATAGTTCATGTGGCGAAATCCCAAATGCCAGCGAGTTTCGATGACCATACTCGCTGGTACGACTCGTCGCTGAAATCGGTTTCCGAATCAGCGGAGATGTTGTACACTTACAACAACGCGATTCACGGGTTCGCCACTAGACTTACAGCCCAAGAAGCCAAATCCCTCCAGGACCAACCCGGAATCCTCTATGTTTTGCCAGAGGTTAAGTACGAGCTCCACACAACTCGCACTCCTTCGTTTTTAGGACTCCAACAGAGTGCTAACTTGTTCCCGGAGTCGGACTCGGAGGGCGATGTCATCGTCGCCGTCTTAGACACCGGCGTCTGGCCCGAAAGCAAGAGCTTCGATGACACCGGGATGGGGCCCGTACCTGCTTCTTGGAAAGGAGCCTGTGAGACGGGGACCAACTTCACTTCCAATCATTGCAATAAGAAGTTGATTGGAGCGAGGTATTTTTCAACGGGCTATGAGGCTACTCTCGGCCCAATTGATGTTACGAAAGAATCAAAATCTCCTAGAGACGACGACGGCCACGGCACCCACACGTCCACCACGGCTGCTGGAGCAATCGTAGGCGGAGCTAGCCTTTTCGGCTATGCATCCGGTTCGGCTCGTGGGATGGCCTATCGTGCCAGAGTTGCTGTATACAAAGTTTGCTGGATTGGGGGCTGCTTTAGCTCGGATATATTAGCCGCCATAGACAGGGCCATCGAAGACTCTGTAAATGTCTTGTCTTTGTCTCTGGGCGGCGGCACCGCCGACTACTACAGAGACAGTGTTGCTATTGGAGCATTTTCAGCAATGGAGAAGGGAATTTTCGTGTCCTGTTCAGCTGGAAATGCGGGACCCAGTGCTTATACTCTGTCCAACTTGGCACCCTGGATTACCACCGTAGGTGCCGGAACTTTGGACCGAGACTTCCCGGCGTATGTCAGCCTGGGCAACGGCAAGAATTTCTCTGGAGTTTCGCTTTACAAAGGTGACTCGTTGCCCGCTAAGCTGCTGCCTTTTGTCTATGCAGGGAACGCTAGCAATTCCACCAATGGGAATCTCTGCATGACCGGCACGTTAATCCCTGAGAAAGTTAAGGGAAAAATTGTCCTGTGCGACCGTGGGATCAATCCTAGGGTCCAAAAGGGTGCTGTGGTGAAAGGAGCCGGTGGGGCCGGGATGGTTTTGGCCAATACCGCCGCCAACGGTGAGGAGCTTGTGGCGGATGCCCATTTGCTCCCGGCCAGCACAGTGGGTCAGAAATCAGGAGACGCGATTAGAGATTATGTATTGTCGGATGCTAATCCAACAGCGACGATTCTTTTCGAGGGCACAAAGGTGGGGATCGAACCGTCGCCGGTGGTAGCTGCTTTTAGCTCGAGGGGACCAAATGCAATCACACCCGAGATCTTGAAGCCGGACCTGATAGCTCCAGGCGTGAATATAATAGCAGGGTGGACCGGGGCGGTGGGCCCCACCGGATTGGCAGAGGACCCGAGGCGCGTGGAGTTCAACATAATCTCCGGCACCTCAATGTCGTGCCCACACGTGAGCGGCTTGGCGGCGTTTGTCAAGGGGGCGCACCCAGACTGGAGCCCAGCCGCCATCCGCTCGGCTCTCATGACCACGGCCTACACCGCTTACAAAAACGGCGGTGAGAAGCTCATAGATGTCTCCACCGGAAAGGCATCGACACCGTACGATCATGGAGCAGGGCATGTGGACCCCGTCGCAGCCCTCAACCCGGGACTCGTCTATGACCTGACCACCGACGATTATCTCAATTTCCTATGCGCATTAAATTACACGTCCCTGCAAATTCAAGGGGTCGCCAGGCGAAATTACAGCTGTGATGCCGATAAAACCTACAGCATCGGGGATTTCAACTACCCTTCATTTTCGGTGTCGCTGCAGACTCAAGTGATTGGGGGGGGCGGTGGTTCCCGCAGCGGCGGCGGAAGCAAGAGCGTAGTTAAGTACACGAGGACGCTTACCAACGTTGGGGGAGGCTCCGGAGGAAGTACGTACAAGGTTTCAATCTCGACGACAAGTCCAGCAGTTAAGATTACGGTGGAACCCGATACATTAACTTTCACAAAAGCATACGAGAAGAAGTCGTATACGGTGACGTTCAGTGCAACTTCAATGCCATCTAATACTAACGAGTTTGGTAGAATAGAGTGGTCAGATGGGAAGCATGTTGTGGGGAGCCCTGTGGTCATTAGCTGGATATAGGCTAGCTAGAGACTGAAAAGAGGACAGGACAGGTTACATGAATGGTGAATTGCTGGGCTTTGCTCAAAGGGGCTGTGAGCCTAGTTGGTTTTACTAGTTTCTTTTAAGTTATGATTATAAATTCCCTTCTATGTTTTGCGCATTTATTACAGTTTGATTTGGTGTTGTTCTGCTGGAGGTAGAAAACTTTGCATCATAAGTATAAAACAGGAAAAAAAAAGTATAAACCAGGAAGGTGTACAGTTGTTTTTTTTTTTTTTTTTTTTTTCACTTCAACGTTTATCGATCAATGAATTGTTTGGATACCCCTTTTTTTAAATAATATTTTACTTGCATTATAGACATATTTTTTAATTCATCTTTTTATCTCACATACATCACATTATAAAAAGTAATACAGTAATTATTTCAAATAACACACTCAATCCAAACAGAGAATTTCTTGAAAGTCTGCATCTATCATTCCGTTTGTCTGCTAAACTGTACATGCCTTTGATTCCAATATTTTCACAAATCTTAAAACGACGTCAAGGAAAATAACATGACAGCAGTGTGTATGTTGACATTGGAGGTCTGGAACTGCATGAACTTGAAAAAGATATTGTAACAATTTGATTGGATGGTAGATATTGGTTTGGAAGATTCATTTTGGATTCTGGTGCGATATAATTTTCAAAATCGAAAGCCGAAAGGGACTTCATCATCCGAAATTGTGGATGCGATTACCACCACACGATTATTGGATGGGGTTCATGGGGTCACGGCACACTAATTACTAGTAATTACTTAGTTGCAGAAGTAGAACTAGTAATTAGGCACTGGTCTATTTTTATATGGAAGCAGATAAGAGTATGCACTAGCACGAAGGATGATCATAAAAACAAAAGGATCACGATCATGGTGACTTGATCGAAACTTGAATCTTGGCTTTTACCGGGCACGAAGGAGAAAGAAACAAAACGATGAGGGCTGAAGCTGGCATAATAATAATGTCAATAAAGAATTGAGCCCGCTCCTCAGTGCTTTTCCCTCCTTTGAAACGAATTCAACAAATTTAATTCATGGGATCTATGCTGTTCCTCTTTATTGCATTTTATCTTTTACGGAGCAAAAAGACGTACTAGAATAATGCAATAATAATTGTAGCATTGCAGGAGAAATTTTCGAGCATTTAAAATGGCTTGGCTGTCATTTCCCACTTGTTCTGTGTATTCTACGTTTTTTTTTTTGGGTTGGATTTTGGTATATTATTCCAAACAGGAATTAACAGGGCCCAAAATGATAAGGACGAAACCCTGAAACAGCCGCAGATACCTCTCTCTGAATATTTGGGCCAAAGACAGAAATCCGTACAAGTGCGATTCAGTACCTGCACAAAGGGCTGTGAGCCCCCAAAATTTGGTTAATGTCCAAACCAAAAGCTCGGGATTAGTGCAGATGCAGAGACCAAGAAGCATTCCCCCCGGTGGAATTGGCGGCTCAACGTGACTCTAGCCTCCCTTTCCTCAACACCTAACACGTCAATGACTCGTGGCAACGGCAGGCCGAAATAGAGAAGCCATATAATACGAATTTCTCGAATTCACAAAAATCAATCAAAGAGCAATCCACCTAGTGATCAGCTATATCAATTTGAAGCCCTGAAAAATTCGACAGAAAAAAAGTAAATTTTTTTTTTTGGGGGCAAATAGAAGTGGTAATAATAAAGGTGGAGGGCAAAATGGAGAGAAAAGGCAAGGAAGAGAAGGGAGGGCCAGTGAATACTAGTCCCTACACGCAGTACAAGGACTTGGAGGATTACAAGCAGCAAGGATATGGGACCCAGGGACACCTCCCACCCCAACCTGGTCGCGGTGCTTCTGCTTCCGTTGATGCTCCTACCGCCACCGGGGATGCTATACCCCCTGCTGCTCAGCTTTTTTCCACCATTAATGTCGTCAACCGCCACGCCGTCCCTTAGTCTAGTTGGAGTTGGACCTTTCTCCTTTATTAGCAGAATTTTTCTCAACACTGGTTTCTTAAGTCCTGAATTCTCTTTGCTGCCGCGTTATTAAGTAAAAAATAACGTTAATTAATTAATTCAAGATGCTCTCGCTTCAATTCACGATTGAGAGGATAAATGAAGATGACGTGTAGGGCATTAGGAGTATTATTGTCAATTTAGAAGGCTGCAACATACAATTGAAAGGACTAATTAAAAGTTAATAGTAAAAAAGAAGGGTGACAATTACTCCACTTTAACTTTTTAAAATCCATGCATTACTTTTTACTGCTTAAAATGTTGACAGCATGAGACACAAAAACGGAAATAAAGATGGCAATCTTTCTTATCTCAAAGACGGATTATTATTAGAGGGGGTGGGGTGGCTCCATAGAATAGAAGGGCACAATGAGAGGTGAGCGTTGAGCGCGCCTCCGAGTGGAACGCAACGCAAGCTCTCGATCTCAATCCTTTTTGTGTATATCAGAGTTTCGTTCGTTCGTTCTACCGCTCCTATTTCAGTAGCAGATTTGCGATACTTTCTCCTGAGAAGGGAAAGACAATCAAAAAAGAGGAAATGGTATTGATTTTCTTCAAGGACCGTGGATGACAAGACAACTGGGTGGATCACGACTTGAATCAGCAAGAAATCTATTGGCCCAGGCCCACCGCCATGCCCCAGGAATCATGTGAGTTCAATACTTAGACTTGGTGGCATTCTATGGATCACGCATCCGCAGTACATTTTCTGGTGTGTCTCTTTAAAAATGGTAGTGAGTGCCCTCTCTGGCTTTTCTCTTTTTGGTCTGCGTCAGGGGTCACGTCGTTGTAAAATGAGAGCATTACCCCAACCAAGTTAGGGATAATTTATAGCCAGCCTCACATTGCATTTACATCAAATTCAGCGTGAATCTCATTTACCACGTAATGATAGAAAAAATTTAAATAAACAACATATGACAAGTTAATCATGAAAAGTGACATATATAAAAGTGGCACTAAATTATCAATAAAAAAGTGACACTGAGGATCCCATGCGAAGATGAAGCGAATACCTACCAATGTCCGGTTAATCATGAAGTTGTGGTTAATTTACATGTGAAGAGAAGGAATTTATGAGGAGACACTTTTAATTGATGCAAAACAGCGAACGATCAATTCTTTGTTGCCTCTTCTCAAAGTTCAATTGGTACTACATGATCCAAACTTGGAGCATATATTGAATATTATTGTAAGTAAGTGGTCGGAGTTTTTATTAGGAAAAAAAATAGACTTGAAATGTCTCAAAATAGTACATTTCAAAGTTTTTATACAAAAGCTCACGATTCAATCAATCGGGCTCTTACCTTCCTTTAAGAAAATTTGCGACTTCTCGAGGGTTCTTGATGCTAGACTTTAAGCTTCCCTCCCCATACAGTTCTGCGTACTATAGATTAAAAGTGTCAAAATGGGTGATTTGGACGGATTTGGGTTGGGTAAAATAGGTAATGGGTATAAGTGACTCAACTCATTTATACCCATTTAATTAGATGGGTATAAATGGGTAAGTCAAAAAATGAATTGGGTAATCCAATTACCCATTTATAACCCATTTATTTTAACTTTTTGTAAACTCATTTAAATTCATTTTTGCAAACTAAATTATCAATTTATACCACTCTTTGTACCCATTATTAGTTTTAAATATTTACTTATAATGTTCAATAAACTTAATTATCAATTTTTGTTCATTTATACTCTATGTCACAAAATTACCTATTATTTAATAATTGAATAATAAGAATATAAAAATTTGAACTAAGTACTATAAAAATTAATATAAAAACTTAATCCAAAAATTTTGAACCCCTAACATTTTTTTCATATATAAATTTAAAATTTCATTTTATAAAGATAAGAAAATAGGCTAAAATTTATCATAAATTGGTAATGCTAAAAAATGAGCAAGTTAACAAACTAAGATAAAATAAAATAATAAGATAAAACCAACAAATAATAATAATAATAATAATAATAATAATAATAAAACAAAAGTAGTTAACATCATAACAAAATAAAAAATTTGAAAAAAAAGGTGGGGGAAAAAAAGAGACTTGGGGAGAAGAGAATTCTAAATGGGTTAATTGGGTTTGATGGGTTATCCAATAATACCCATTTATTATTGGGTAATCCATTTATACCCATATACAAAAATTTAAGATACCCATACCCATCTATTCATGGGCGGGTATGGGTAAATTTAGTTAAGTGGGTTGATTTGCCACCTCTACTATAGATAGACAGGAAATCCGGCATGAATGTTATGCAGAATAGCTCATCATATATTCCCCTTGATTCTTTACCAGATATTGATAAAAAAAAATCAACGGAAGGAAGGTTCCCCAACCCCCCAAGCGGCCTGATTATTGTTTTACCTCTAGAATAATTCTTGCCTGAGATCTGGGCAATGATAAACAAGGAAAGTTATAAAGTAATGGCCTAGGTCACGTTGTCACTCACAGGCTTCCCATGAAATAAAATTCAAAAAGTCCCAGCCAAAAAAAAAAAATATTCGAGTACCACAAAACTCCCGTCTCTTTAATTAAAAGCAGCCGACTCGAGACCTTTCATACAATTGCAGGCGGTTTGTAGAATGAAATATTGAGTGTGTTTGGATTGTAAGTTATTTGAAATATTTTTACTGTAGCACTTTTTGTGATGTGATGTATGTGAGATAAAAAGGTAATTGGGAAGATAAAAAGGTGTATTGAAAATTGTAATGGTGATGTCAGCAAATATATTTGGCCAAATAATTGGCTGTCCAAACACACTAATTATTCTCATTCTCTTACCTACGCACCAATAAATGGATGAGATTTTCTAAGCACGATGCGGATCAAGCAACATTTGGTTTGGGTAGGCCGAGGAAAAAACAAATGAAGAAAAGATATTAGTACTATGGTATGTTATTAGCATTCATGGAGTAGATGTTTCTGCCCCTCTCCCGCTCAAATGGGACAAATACCCAACAAAATCTGGAATTGACAGCCTATCTAAATTTGATTATCTCTCTTTACTTTTGCTTCAATGATTTAAATTCCACCCTCACTTGGAAATCTCTCAAAATTTTGTACGTTTTTAATATGTCACTGCAACCATCCATCTAGCGTGCTAATTCTTACAAAGACAAGACCGAATGAAAACGCAGATGCTGTTGTTCTCTCACCTAATCATTTGAAAGCGAAGAGACAGCAAAGGAACCAAGCCACGCTCCCGAAAAAAGGCCGCCTCTATTTGTATCCTTCGCTAACAACACTTTTCTCTCCCTTCTCCTCTCCTCCAAACAAGAAAACATTACATAAATTTGTTCCCCTGCTCCACTCATGTTGTTTTAGACCAGTAGTGGAGTATTTCAGTTCTCTCTTCCTTCTTACCTCCACTCGGTCCTCTTCCCCTTCATCTTTAATTTGCATCTCAACGGAGGACTGGAGAGGAATTAACAGACAATTAGCCGCTGACTTTGTTCAAATTTGGAGATGGCTGGAAACGACGCCGATGCTGATGAAACGAGGAGACATTCCAATCCCGTTGGCAGTAGTCATGTCGTGGAAAGAGAAGAGGAAGATGAAGAAGCATTGTCTTTTTCTGACCTTCCCACCAATGAAGAGAATCAGTTCTTAGTATCAAGAAAAGAATCTCCAGTACCCATCATCATTCACGACTCTCAAGAGGAATTCAATTTCTGCTCCTCCTTGGCCACGGATTCTCTGTCGAAAGAATCAGAAATGTGTGTAGCTGATGAAGTCTTTTTCCAGGGCCAAATTCTTCCTCTGCGCCACTCGGTCAGTTCCGAAAGCGGCTTGATCACCAAATTGCAAAACGACAGCCGGACAACGAGCAGGTCCGAGTCCATGGATCGTTGTTATTCAGTTGGCTTCACGAGTCTGAGCAGCAGAAGTAGCAGTTTAAATAGTCACCATTCCTCGAGCAGCGGCACTACTAGTTCCACCTCCACCACAACGGGGACGGGCTCCTCGTGCATTAATCGCAAGCCTAGACCCAAAACTCGTAACCACTTCCAATTTTCCCACCCCAGTCCCAAACCCCAAATTCGTTCCTCAAATAGCATCAAGAATGGGATGAATTCCAGCCGAAATTCGACACTGTGGAGCATTTTCCGGGTCGGGTTGGTGACAACTCCAGAGATTGCAATTCAAGACCTCAAATTTCGAAACAACAGTAAGAACGCCGGTTTCGGCAGTCGCAATAGCACAAGCAGTACCATTAGCAGCGGTAGCGCCGGCAGAATCAAAGCTGAGGAAAAGGACAGGATCAAAAAGAGGCACAAATTCCTCGATAAAAAGGGGGTTGTGTTCTTCAGCGGCTGCAAATGTTCGTCAAATGCAGTGGCTGGACCAATTCCTTCGAGGGTTGCGGAGAATGGCATGAGGAGAAGTGCTAGTGTAAGCGAGGCCCATGCAAAAGAAGAAGAGACGGAGAGTCTGACGAGGACGACAAGGCAGCATGATCAGCAACAAACAGGAAAGCAGGCCTTGTCACGTCATCGTACGTTTGAATGGTTAAAGCAGCTTTCGCTAGAAGCTGCTGCTGTAGTTGATGAAGCATAGAATCAAGAATGCTGGTCTGCCAGCGCGCATGCTTTGTCTAATTAGCCTTTTCCTTTTTTTTTTTTTTTGGGGTCATTTGTTTAAGGCCACAGGATTTGTTTTCTATTACATTCCAGTGCAGTAACTTTTTGTTGGGCTGGTATTAGGTTGCTTTAGTCTGATTTGATTAACTTTGACTAAGTTGATTACATATTATTATTGTTTTACTAATTTGAAATCTGGAACCACTCAAAGGTAAAACTTTGGGGGAGTTAAGGTGATTAAGTTATGGTTAGCTTTATGCAGAATTTTGTTTTTTTTTAAAAAAAAAAAAATTGGGTGAATAAATGATTGAAGCCGTGATGGGTGGGGCGGTGGCAGAGGGAGAGAGGGAGGGTGGGAGAATGGTTAATGGTGGTGGCGGTCATGATTAAAAGCGTGATGCTTTTTTTTCATCCCTGGCGTGTGAAAATGGCATTTCAAGAACTTTAAAAAGACCACGAGAGGGACCGTTGAAAAAAGATTCATGAAGACGAAAATGGAATTGGCAACAGATATTTTTGTTCTGGGAGGAGAAATGGGGGCCCATGATTGCAACTTTAATTGAACAGTGATCAGAGAGAAGGGACTTGCATGTCGGGCTTCGCCAACTGACCCTATCCAATTGAGCCCACCAAATTATTATTATTATTTTCAACATAAGTAGATAAAGAGCGAAGGGCTGTGGTGACCTGGAGTTTTCGTCGTCCTCTCACGTGCCGCGCATGTGAGTTAGCAACATTGTGTTGTTCGCGCATGGCGCCGCGGGTTCAGCTCTGTTGGCCCCTTCTCTTCTTTCTTTTTTTTTCTGTCAGTAACCCATGTGTCTCCTGCTGCGTTTTCTGCTGTGTTTCTCTATCTGGCAGAATCCAATGCCTCTCCTTTTGCCTAACTTCTCTCTCTCCTTCTTCTTGGCTCTATTGTTCTATTTGCTCTGTTTCGGTCTCTGTCCTCCTCCTTTTTCTCCGTTGTATTCTTTTTATCTCTTCTCTTTTTTTTTTTACATCAGTAGATAAAGAGCGAAGGGCTGTGGTGACCTGGAGTTTTCGTCGTCCTCTCACGTGCCGCGCATGTGGGTTAGCAGCATTGTGTTGTTCGCGCATGGCGCCGCGGGTTCAGCTCTGTTGGCCCCTTCTCTTCTTTCTTTTTTTTTCTGTCAGTAACCCATGTGTCTCCTGCTGCTTTTTCTGCTGTGTTTCTCTATCTGGCAAAATCCAATGCCTCTCCTTTCGCCTAACTTCTCTCTCTCCTTCTTCTTGACGCTATTGTTCTATTTGCTCTATTTCGGTCTCTGTCCTCCTCCTTTTTCTCCGTTGTATTCTTTTTATCTCTTCTCTTTTTTTTTTTACTTCCGGTGAAGTGTATGATTCACTGTGAGCTTACTCTGTGAGTTTAAACTGATATTTTTTTATTTTTGTTCTTTGATTCCCATTTCGAACTGCGAAGCGGCCATGCATCCTCTGTCTCTCGCTTTCTTTGTGTTGCAGTGGTCCAGATAAGCTGCCGTCTGTTCACGGCGCCTCCTTCTCCTCCATTGTACCTTTTCTGCCTCTTCCTTTCCGGTTAGGTACGCTCCTCCTCTGCCATTGTACATTTTCTATTTTCAACATAAAATTCCTTTCCGGTGAGTTTTCTCTCCTTTTTATTCTTTTTTCCTCTCTTTCTTGAACAGATGACGGTTTTCTTCTCCTCGGCCGCCGCTCCTCAGATCTCTCAAAACTGGTACTGCCAGCAATAACCACCGTCGCCACTTCGCCTTCTACACCGGTATGTTTTCTTCGATGTCACTTTTCTCTATTTCCTCCTCTGGTGTTTTTCCTCCCCGGTGAGCATCGATCTTGCCTTTTTTGTTGCGTTGTTTTTTTTCCCTTTTTTTTCCTTTTTTTGCTCAGCGTTGCGTTGTATTTTTTGTTTGGCTTTTCCGTTATCTGATCTACACGAGTTTGCCGTTGGTGTTTGCGCTTTTTCCCCCCTGCGTTGCGCTATTTTTTCCCCCTTTTTCTGGTTCTCTCTTGCAGATTCGAGGCTATGTAGATCATGTGTAGTTGTGTGTTTTGTGATGTGGTTTTTTTAGTCTCTGGACTGTTGCTTGCAGAGACAGCGTCGCCCCTCCTCTCCTCTGCCTTTTCTTTTTCTTTTTTTTTTTAATTCCTGGACCTAATTTTTGCTTAGTCTCCATCATTTTCATTAGCAATAGGTTAATTTCAGCTTTCTTCTGCCAACTCCATTCAGTTGAACCCGTTTTCTTTTTAAAGCTTGGTGATTTTCCTCTTTTCCTTTGATTTTGCTTTTCTCGTTGGCTTGTGAAGGCCACCAACTTTCTCATTTTCTCTTAAATGTGGTCTCAAACAAGCTTTTTTATTCCAATAAGAAACAAAAAAAAACATTCTTACCCCGAAAAAAACAAACTCCTTGTTTTTCCAAGCACTTGCCGATCTATTCCAAGAACTTTGTTTTCCAGTATGCTTTCGGCCTCGCTGGACTAATGGTGGTGGTTTCAAGCAATCGTCTTTTTCCCCCTGATACATTGCAGATCTGTTCAAAATTTTATTGTTTTCCAGCACTTTCTATCGTCAGCTTTTTTTCCCTTTCTTTTTTATTAGCCCTGGTATAACTAAAATCATCTATTTCTGCTTTATCTATGTTGTTCTCCATGCTGTTGTTGTTCCTTACAGTGAGCATTTTTTAGAATTTTTTAATGGCGTGCTTTTTCTCTTCTTGTGGCATATTTACATTGGTATTATGCTTATTGTTAAGTTTGCTTGTTTTTATCCCTTTCTTTTTATTAGGCCTGAATATAACTAAACTCATCTATTTCTGCTTTATCTTTGCTATTCTCCGTACTGTTGCTGCTTTTTTCAGTGAGCATTTTTTGCAATTTTTTAATGGCTTGCTTTTTCTCTTCTTATGGAATATTTAGATTGGTTTTATGCTTATTGTTGAATTTGCTTGTTTTTTTTTCGTATGCTTTTTCTTAGGGAACTTTTTGGTGCTTTCGTTGTGCTACATTCTCCTTCACTGTGTAAGTTTGCTAACTTTTTATGTATGTGTTCTTATCTTTTTATTTCCTTGGGCTCCGTTTTAGTTAGATTGATGATTGTAAAACTTGTAAACTGCACTTAAGTGCACTCTATACATGTTTCTGAATAAATGTGTCCATTCATGAGCAATCTTCTCTTAATTTTTCCCTTGATTTGAATATTTCTTCAGGTTTCCTTTTGTTTCTGGTTGGGTTTATTACAGGGATGTATAGTGATTTTTTTGGAAAAAGGGTGCAGCTTCCTGGCTAGAGGTTTACGGCATATTAGAGTTGTAAATAGGCTAATTTATTTTGTTCTCCGTTAGGCTATGTTGATATGAATTTGGATTCATTAGAGTACTTGCTCCATATATTCTTGACTGGTTCTTTTTGTCTGCATTTTTATATTCGTTTCCTTCTTTTAAACTATCCATCTGGCTAATGTGCCTCTTTATCCTCAATTGTAAGTCTCCATTAGTTATTAAAAAATATATAATTGATATTTTTCCCCTTTCCATATATTCAGATGAGAAAAGCTGTGAGGGATGCTGCTCTAACATTGCCCTACTGGAATAATTACAAGAAGATGCAGAGTACAGATCTGAGGTATATCCTCCTAAATTCTTAAAATGCCTAGCTCAATTTTAAGGTTTATGCACAAGTCTACATGACGTCTATTTGGATGATTCATTGAATATTAATGTTCGGTCTTTTGGTTTGTTGGGATTCAGACTTGGGAGTAGGTTTCATGAAAACGAACTTGTTGGATTTAGTCATTGCTTTATGAAGGCTAAAGAAGTGGTGCGCAAATGCTAAAGAAGTTTTTTTTCTAAATGACAAACTTCTACTTGTTGACTAGCTGTATACTCTTGCTTTTGTCTCTTTTTAATTCGAGGTTGTTTACTCTACCTCATAGATGGGTTGAGGCTGTGAAATGGTCAGGACAGGAGAATTACTAAGCAGCTCCTACTGTTCCATTTACAGTAGACGGTTTGGAGGCAAAATTACAAAAAAAGTATGGACCATTGATCTTTCTCAAAGTACACAATGCTAACTACTTGGTTCCTATGGATCAGCCAAAAGCAGCATTGGACATGATACAGAGGTGGCTACAAGGCAAACTCTGAAAGGTCCAGCACTCCAGTCTGAGCTCTCCATTGAGACGCATGTGATGGATTACTTGAAACACAAGCTGAAATGCTTCATCACAATCTTTGTACTGATCTATTTATTCAACTGCAACGTATTGATTTGCGAGTGGAAGTCAAGCAGATATAAAAATAGATGTAAATGGATGTTAATTGTGGAGTTGATTCGGTTCAAAGAATTGGCTGCAGTGTGTCTTAAAATGCCATTCCTTCACAAATGAACACAAAGACAGTAGCTAGCCCCGGCAAAAGCCGTTATTGGTTGTCATGCTATTGTATATTGTAATTCCATTTTTTGCCTTGTATCTATACGAATGGCACTTTATCTTTGTGATTTTGGAGGGTGTGAGGGCGTACTCCTCGTGTGTAAATAGTTGACAAAATTGGTACTCATTCCAAGGCTAATTTGTATTTGTGCATTCTTTGCTCACAGGAAGTTCCCAGGTATGCAATGTAGAAGACTCCATGAAACAAGGACTCGTTGATTTATTCCCCATCTTAGAATTTCTTTTGCAATTATTATCTTCAAGAGGAAAGGCATAGAAAATTTTGCTCCTGCTATTCTAGCTTCAAAATTTATCTTTAGTCGGATTATGTAAACTAAGAAGTGCACCACATCATGGTGATTACTGATTTTTTATTGTTAGATGAAATTTGTATCCGTTCCTTCGTGATTTCCCTGCTCTCAGTATATTTGAGTTCTCATATTTTTCCTGCTCTCGGTATATTTTAGTTCTCATACGAATCACGAAGGTTTGGGATAGGGTCTACTTTCTGCACTAATAGTCCAAAATTTATATTAATATAAATGTTTTCACTATTTTGAGAGCATGAAAAGATTGCAAAATCTAACTCTGGATGATGTTTATAAGTTTAGGTAGCTGCATCATTGGAAAATTGATGGATCTTATAACTAAATCATAATGCAACCTAGCCTTGAGATGGCAATTTGGACAAAATTCTCTATTATTCTGATTTTTTGTTGCGAATAACACTTGCTATTTTTAACATGATTACATACTTAGGAGGCTTTGTCTTTTATTGATCAAGGATGCAGCCATCCTTAATAGTTAACCTCCATCGGCTTAGGGGAGCCCTTGTTATACTAAATTTTGCTCTAATTTTGGTTTATCTCTATCATTAATGGATCCATTTTTAATTAAGTACAAATCATTTTACGGGACTGGGCATCTCCATCTATTTTTCCCACCGTGCGTAGCACGGTTTATGCCTCCTAGTTTTAAAAAAAAAGCCATGAAAATACTAGTACTACCATGTTAGTATTGCGTTCGCTTCTTTCTGTTTTCGATCACTAGTTTGGATGGCTTCTTGCATTTAGTATCTGTATCACTTTTTTATCCTCCATCGAATTCTTACATAAAGATTTTGGTGTTGGGAAGCAGTAGTTAGTTGGAGTGCGATTTATGACAACCATTTTTGGTACGTCCAACGGTATTATGTCTGTAAAGCAGGTGCATTTCATTGCAAAATAGAAATACTTACTATAAAATACGCCAAATAAAAAAAAAATGCACAGGATTTGCGAAATAGCTGCGGACAATTAAACTTGAAATAAATGAAAGAAACTATCAAAAGTATAATAAGCTCCTCAATTGCCTTGAAACGTGAAGAACTCAAAATTGTCGCGCAAAAGCTTGATATTTATTGACGAAGGAAAACACTTGGAGTTGGAACTCACTCTCGAGAATTCAACTTCCAAAGGTTTTGAGACATTTCTGAGAGATTTGTTGAATTATTAGATTTGCTCCTTTCATCAATATGTAGCTTTATAACTATTATTGACGTAATTTATGTAAGATAATAATCCATCATCATGTTTACCAGCCTTCAACTCTATGCATGCCACATGATAGATTCAGATCGTGAGAAGTTGAAACTAAGAGAATACGGGAGTTGCGTGGTGATTGATTTGACTAATCGCAGCATCTGCACTTCGCACCCACAGTTTCAAAAGTCAGCAAGATTCAGGTCAAAGTCATTTCCATCTTCAAACAAATTTTTTAAATTTCAAATAAGAAACCCGACTATTATCCAATTGTTTTCAAAAGCGTATGATTCCATCCCCATAGTTGATTGATTGATTGATTCATTAGTGTGTGTGAAAAGCGACGGGCGGAGATTTGGTCCAAAGATTTCTAGGTTGTTAAGTAAGGAGTACGGCAGGCTACACAATCTTAGTCCCTCTGGTACGGGGGGTTAATGCAGTCGCTGTAACGTCCAGCGTCTGGCAGTTAGGTCATAGATGGCGTTTTTCTATTGTAGTAGTTAGTGACTTAGTGACCCACCCAAACTCGCTGGCTCGTTTCTGGAAGAGCAATCATAAATGTTACAGTGAAAAATACCCGGACGGCGCAAATAACCGGTGAGGCTACAGAATCGTGACAAAAGAAAAGAAAAAAAAAAAAAAAACTATTGGGCCAAAAAAAAAGTAAAGGTTAAACTTCGCTGCGAGGGTGAAGAAGCATTTTTGCTCCACATTTCTTCATCCATCAACTTAAGCATTGGGCCAACATTTGTACCGCAAGGTAACGTGTTTTCTACGGGCCACGAGATATTTAGCAACCGTGTATGACCAACATAGAACTTTAAAAGTTTTGTTGGCAGGATATCCATACAGCTAAGTGTTGATAACCTCATTGCTTAAAAAAAAAAAAATCATAATCAAGCATTAAAAAAAAAACCTCGGTAGTTGATATTTTATTGCTATCGACATTCCTTGTAGCAAACTAATATTTTATAGTAAAAATGGAGAGAGAATTTTACTAAAAAGAAGTTAAGTAAGTCCCGGCCAAACAGGTTTTTGGAATTACTATGGGGAGTTAGATTTATTTGTCGAAAATTTTTACTTTCGTAAGAAAATGTCAGAAAGAAAAAAAAAAAAAAAAAGTCCCGGCCAAACAGGTAGAGATTTGAACTGAAACTATTTATAGTGAAACCATCCTGAACGGTTTCATGCATTTGATCAAAATGTACATAAATTTGAACACAATATATATTTAGTTGTTTTTTTTTTTTGTGAGTCACGCACGTGTTAGAATTGATGTATGACTTGTAATTTGGGCCGTACAATTTTTTTCTTGACCAATCGAGTCCGTGATATGTTCAACTGTTCATGCCCAAATTCAATGGGTGGTAAAGTAGAAGTCAGAACTTACCATTGGGGGGAAGAAAAAAAAAAATTGTCTGACCGTGCGTGCATATCCCTCCGAGTACCATCATCTTGTGTCTCTCCTGGTTTTTCAACGTACTTTTGGCATCTGATTTTGAAGATTATTATCGTGTAATTTTCATAACCATTTGTCTGTCAACTTTTTTCTTTTCCCCAATTTATAAGTTAGAAAAGCATTTCATTCTCAAAATTGCGTTTTGGAATGTTTCAAGGAGATATTAATGCAACACTTCTTCAATGAGAAGGATACATAGAACAATCAGGAACACATGGTTGGAAAACTTCTGAAAAACTGCAATCACTACAATTGGGAAAACCTTCATAATTGCAAACAATCGGGAAGTAGGCTCGCAATCACTACTCTCTGAAGCCTGCCAATAAAAGCTTCTATATTTGGTTCTTGTTGCTTAAAGGCTCTCAAACTATATTGGGTTGGCCTGATAGTCAGGAGAAGAAGTCTCTCTTGTTGCCGCCGGATTCAGGATTTGAGCCCTATACTTAGTAATTGGATGCAAAAAGCGCGTGAAAAAAAAAAAAAAAAAAAACTTCCATATCCATGACATGAATTGAATGGGATATCAGAAATTGTTTCAACTTGCTAAAAGCTGATTTATTTATGTTAGCCTGAAATTATCAAAAAAAAAAAAAATTAGTGGCTACAACGTAAAATTCAGTAGAATGTTCCTGGATCAGAAGCTAGATGGTGCAATTGCGATTGGGAGCAATTCAGCTTCATGAAGTCGACGACGACGGCAATAACGTATGGGATAACTTTTCTCGCTCCACGTCCACGTCCACGTCAACGCAGCAGCATCTGATCGTTTTACTTTGAACCAATTTTCCTTGACTCTTTCCCGTTCCCAAATGCCCATCCCCGGCCTCCGATCCAATCTTTAATCAGTTTTTTTACTCATTCTTGACTGTGCATATTTTCCACCACCCTGGGGCTGGGAGTGGGGGCTGGGGATATTCCATTTTCCACTCACTTAAACGCGGAATTCCCACACGGTTTCCATATTCACTTTTGCCCCTTCCTTCAACAGCCAAACTTGAAAGATTGGTTTGGCATTATGTCTGTTTTCTTCTTCAAACTTAAAAAAGGCTATTTTTGGATAGAAAAGAAATGGGACGAGAAAAAGAGTGGTTGGGACTTGGGAGGGCCGGACAGTACACAAATCAGTGAGACGCGACCTTTTCTAGTTAAATAAATATATGAGTTTTCATTATATAATTCCTCAACTTGCTTCCTTCGCTGATCATAATTCTATTTTGCCAATGTTTTCAAATCCGTTGACGAAAATAATTTTCATTATGCCAAACAAGGTTCTCGGTGATAGCAGAATAAGATTACTATAGCAGTCAGTGTACAACTTTTAATACTACTAAGTGCTAACTAAATGCATATTCCATGACTTCCTCCTCACTGACCAAAACGCCCCGCCTCAACACCATCCAACTACTTCTGCTTACGGCAAAGACTTGACTCTGGACTCTGGACTCTGGACTCTGGCCTTGCCTTTGGAGCATACATTTTAAAGTAAAACTGGAAAAAATTAGTTGTTTGTTTCAAACACAGATTAGTTCTTCATTTCTATGCTTGATCATCGGAATTCGGCAAGTAGGCGGCGGTAAGGCGGAGGGAGATGTTGGGGGCTTGTTACAGACCGTGGGAGAGCTGTTTAGGTGGCGGACGCGGCGGTGATGGGCTGTTGTGGCACATGGACTTGAAGCCACATGCCTCTGGTGACTATTCCATAGCAGTTGTACAAGCTAATTCTTCATTGGAAGACCAGGGTCAAGTTTTCACATCTCCTTCTGCTACTTATATTGGCGTTTATGATGGCCATGGCGGCCCTCAAGCTTCCCGCTTCATCACTAACCGCCTTTTTCCTTTCCTCCAGAGTAATTTCCTTATAACCCTTTACGTCTTTTTTTTTTTTTCTTTCTTTCATTTTTTTTTTTTTATAAAAAAATTTCCCTTCGATTTGGTATTTCATTCACTATGGGATATTGCTGGCAGAATGATTCTCATCATTAACGTGATTTCTAAAAAAAAATAATAATAATTTTGATTCTTTGTGGTTCAGAAATGTTGTGGGATGTCATAGAAGTTTGTTTGAAGTTTCGGAGTTATGAGTGCATATGGCTACTCATTTGTATGATTTGATTGATAAAGGAAAGGATGGAGGAAAGACAACTTACCTCGAAAATGCATTTATTGTTTGTCATCTATGATACGAAATTGGAAAGATGAAAGCTTTGATTATTTCTTAATTTTTATCACGTTTTTGGCAAGTTGTCGGAACGGGTGAATGTCGTTGTTAATTAATTGATTTTGCAATAATAGAGTTTGCACTGGAACAAGGAGGTTTGTCTGAGGAGGTGATAAAGAAGGCATTTAATGCTATTGAGGAGGAATTTTTGCATTTCGTGAAGAGTTCATGGTTGTCTCAGCCACAGATCGCGTCAGTAGGCTCATGTTGTCTTGTTGGAGCAATAGCAAATGGTGTTTTATATGTGGCAAACGTTGGTGACTCGAGGGCTGTGCTAGGTAAGAGAGTAATAGGTTGCCCTGAAAGTAATTCGTCTACCGTGGTGGCAGAACGTTTGTCCACTGATCATAATGTTGGCATCGAGGAGGTGAGGAAGGAGATTGAGGCACTTCATCCGGATGATGCACACATTGTTGTTCATACTCGTGGAGTTTGGCGAATTAAGGGCATTATTCAGGTACAGCTGCTTGTTTTGGAATCCTCGGTTTGGGTGGATTGGTTGTTATCAAGATCTTTTAGTTTGTATCCCACTGCCGTTTCTTTACTTTCTGTGTTTATTTATTGGAGTCACTTTGTAGGCTCTGGATTATGATTAATCATCTACCCAAGGATTTGGTGCATTTCTTGTCCGTTCCCCACTTTAGAGGTTTATAATTATCATCTCACAATGAATTCAGGTGTTCTTTGCCTGCAGTTCGATTGATTACATGAGATAAAACCCTCCAGTTTTTCCATTTTCAGTTTCTATTGATGGTCGATAAGGAGGTATAGCAGTCAACTTTGTTGTAGTTCGATAGCAATGAAGTGGAAATTTTGTTCATTTCTAATCAGCTTCTGAGGAGTTTATTTCAATGTCAAAAGAACCTTTTCCTCTATGTTTTGTTTTTAATTTCTTCAAAATGTTTCCACAACATGCACTGCTTAAGAATGTGAAGTCATTCATGCTTTGAGATAGGCTCTCTGCTTAAAGAGTACCTATAATGTGTAGGACAGGCACGGTAAAGATGCAGAGGAGGAGCTCAACTGAAAAAAAAAATGATGCAGAGGAGGAACATGTGCCTTGTTCTAGTACTAGAATTCTGCTCTTGATTGATAGATATAATAGGGTCAACTACTTTTATATTTTATATGAATCAGGCTATGGGATTTTCTCTTCCTTTTACATAAGAAAGAACACTAATTCAAGTAAGTGCTGGTAGTATCCTGGTGCTTAGTAAGCTTTAAAAACTATCAGGCCATCTGCACTTTGTGTAACATTTTTTTTTTCCAATGGCTACAGTCATGTTTGCTTGTGAGGCTTGGATTTGCACTGCAATAAGTAAACTTAGATGAATGTCTATACTTCCATCCTCGAGAATGTAAATGCTTTCAAAAGAGTTGGTCGGGGAGGTGGATATATCTGTTCAGCAAAGTTGCATTTCTGGCTTGCCCGAATATTTCCTTTAACCAGGCTACGGAATTGCTTTGGGTTCATTTTGGATTTGCGTCAGATATTAGGCTTCTCTCCTTTGTGTTTTCTTTATTGCTTAAACCAGAAGTAACATGGTGCTCCTGTTATTGCTCTAAATAACTCTTGCATTACCTCATATGAACAACTTCCTGTTTTTTATCTGAACCATGCGGGTGATTCAATACTGGAGGTTAATTGCGTTTAACTTTTCCGGAATGGCCATGTCTTAGGAGTCACTGTGCTTCATAAATAATTTCTACTATACGAGGGAAGTAAACATGGAGATAGGAATAAATTCTGCCATATTTGTTCAGGGAATGTGTTTTGAAATATTTTCCTTATCATCCATTCCTCCCATGCTTCTTTATTAATTTTGTGTTGTAATTGAGTTGAGTTATTTTTTCAAAGTACTCTTTTCGAGGCAGTTAACATTTCAAAACTGATCAACCTACTTTAAACATCAAAATATGGCTGCTTTTTACATTGGGCATGGTTTACCAAGTCCCTTTAATATCTTCATGGCAGCCAACAACCTTGAGTTTGATTGGGCCCTAAATGCTTTGATGCGACAGAATTCTTGCTTTTATCTCTACCATGATTTTAACTGACCAAATCCCTTGCACACTTCTCCCCTCTTGCACTGGATTGTTCCATTAATGGATATGTTAGTTCTTAGCTGTATCTAAAACTCCTTTTTGGATTACATCTGATGATAGCTTGACTTGTTTAATTGCAATCTGATTTTGTGGAGCTAAAATGGTTGTTATAGCTGTTATTTATATTATTGTTCATGCTGAAGTTTGTCTGTTCCTTCTGACTACTGAAAATGGCATCTCTGCTTATCGCCTCTTGCTTGTCAGGTATCTAGGTCCATTGGGGATATATATCTTAAGAAACCCGAATTTAACAGAGACCCTATGTTCCAGCAATTTGGATACCCTGTGCCTCTGAAAAGGGCTGTCATGTCAGCTGAGCCGTCGATATTAATTCGAAAGTTAAGGCCACAAGACTTGTTCTTAATATTTGCATCAGATGGCCTGTGGGAGCAACTGACCGATGAGGAAGCTGTGGAAATTGTCGTTAAGAATCCCAGAATTGTGAGAATCTGCATGATCTTTAAAGCTTAAGTATTATAATCTGCAGAATTGAGAATAACTGACTTGTTATTAATCTTGTTGTTGGTTAGCTTTAATCACTTCTCATTACGGGGTTTGTCTGTTACACGGTGCAGGGAATTGCAAAGCGATTGGTGAGAGCTGCCTTGCAAGAGGCCGCTAAGAAAAGAGAAATGAAATATAATGACATAAAAAGACTAGAAAAAGGAGCTAGGCGCCATTTCCACGATGACATTACTGTGATTGTGATTTATCTTGATCATCAAGGCTCTCCAACTTTTAGACTGAAGGATACTGGAATCTTCGACTGCACTAGTGTCCCTGTTGATATCTATTCTCTGAATTCGGATCATGCAGACAATACACCCCAGGTTTCTCCTTGACAATCCCGGGTACACAATCACTCTATCCTGTAAATATTGTTTCCCTTTCGAAACAGGGTTCGGATGGAGCTTTCGGAGCCATTGATAGAAGGAAGGGGTCATGTATATTACCCTTGTGAGGAAGGGTTGTGTCCAAATTAATGACTTCCCCGCTGGGTTTTTTTCACCTCATCTTGCTTTCTCTGTCCTAGGGAGTGTTGTATTTGTTAGATACAGACGTACCCGTGTAACCATGTAGAATAATAAAACAGCGTTTCAGCTTGCGGATAGGGAACATAAAGTTGATCAGTCATCGTTTGGAATCACACTGGTGCCAAAGAGTATAGTAGCCATGCTTGGTCTTACATTTATGTGATGTGATGCCCTCATTCTTTACCAAAAATGCCATGCAATTTCCCGAGTTTGAATTTGTTTCTTTTCAGATTGAATTTTTTCGAACTTCACATGTTCCATCCTTTCCATCAATGAAGTGATATATGAACCAGTGTCGTGCGGATCAATTCTGTAATTTGGTAAATTGTCTGCATTCTCTTCAACCCAAGAGAAAAGGCAAGAAGTTTGCGTTCCTTTTTTTTTTTTTTTTCCCCGAAGTGCACTAGAAGGAACCACGGGCATGGCAACGAGTGATGCTTGATTGAGGAATGCAAATGGATTTAGGTCACTTGAGAGAAAAACTCAAGCAGCATTTATTCTCTAGCGGATCAACTACACCGTAAAAGCTGAACTTATCTTCCCAAATGAAGTGGGCGTTGTCAAATTAGATGATTAAAGTGAACTGGTGTTCCGGGCCGCTTAAACTAGGACCAGACAACATGCCAGTCATTGGCTCAAAAATGGATTGCTTATCAAGCCAAGTGAGAGGCGATGGAGCTCATTAAGCTCGAGTAGGAAGTGAAAACCAAATAGGCGGAGCCGTTCAAAACTCTTCTTCTATGGTGATTCTGTTACCTATTGAATGAGACAATTCCAACTACTTATATTCTATTAATCGCAGAATCATAATGCGCTTATCGGGTTTTCGTGTATTGCACAGCTTATGGAGCAGTGCTCTGAATCTACCAAAATGCACATTCTGGTCCAATGTGAGTCATCGTGCTCCACCCCCAGAACAACCCAAAAAAACCGTGGCGCAACCAGTTCCTGCTTGTCCAGTGCCCGCTTACGATTTCAATCATTTTCTTTTAACTAATTTTTATAGTGCCGAGTGCCCAAAAACATATATCTGTATGTTTTCATTTTCTTTGGAAGGGTCTGCTCTAGAGGTGTTAAACATAATTTCAATTATGTTGATCTGCTGAAATTCATCCACTGGATTTGAGTATGCCTTGAATTTAAAATGGGTTTAAATTGATATCTAATTAAATCCATTTTATTGGTGGACAGTGAGTTGTCCCGATTCACCCATATAAAAATAACTTATATATTTAAAATCAAGTTTTAGTGGATATTAAGTAAATAAAGTTAAATTTTCTATCAATCTAACACCAACAGTATGTGTTATTTCTCATCATACAATATAAAAAAAATAATAATAGAATTTTAAGGCCCCGTTTGGTTCTAGGAAACCACTAAGAAAAAGGAAAGTGATTCCATCATAATTGAATTCCCACGTTGGGTTGAGGTGGAAAGCACAGGGAAAGGAATTCAAAGGAAATGGCTAAAGAAACCAGCTGTGATCTGCTTTCAGGTAAAATCTCTTATTCGAATCTTTTCTAATATGCTTCTTAATTCTCCCCCTCTTGTCTTGAACCCGTAGATATCCATAGCTAATTTTCAGCCTTTGGCCCGGTGATCACCGCCAAAACATTAAGGCTTGATGGGTTCAAACCTAACCTCCTGCTAATTGCCACCATATATGGGTCTGCTTAAAAAATCTATACGAGTGTATAGTGTACCTGTCTGGTCGAGTGATAGTTTAGTCCTCTCTGAGTTATCTTTGGGTCTCTCCACGCCTCCCTCCCTTTAGTATAAAATAATGTAGGTCTACCGTATTCGACGAAAAAAAAAAAAAAAAGAAGCTTCTTCTTTCTTTCCCTTGAATCGACCTATATTCTTTCTCTGTCAAGACAAGAAAATGAGGGAGATAGGAGTTTTTGTCTTAGTACGAGGACCAGGGTTAGGAAGGCTTGTTGCCAGCTGCAATTTCCTCCACCATCAGCGCCAGAAGTTTTAGTAGAGTAATGGAGGCTGTGAAGGGTTTCAGAGTTCCCTTGAGAAAAGATGGGGAATATGCTAAAATTTTAAAAATTTTCAAATTGGCCCCAAAAATTCTAGCCAATGCAGTATAGCAATCCTCAAGACTTTTAGTTTGTAGTATTCGTGCATGGACTTTACTTTTGCAAATTATTGTATGACCCTATTTGCTTTTTAGAATGAAAAGGTAAGGCATTTGAGTTTTAATCACCTTCAATAAATACTAAAGTAAATCGACTTACCCATGTCGTGATAATTTAAAATCTCCATTTCTTAGTTAAGATGGGTTTATTGTTCCTTATTTATATGACTCATCGAAAATCGAACATTTTTTAAAATCATTTTTATTGCTGTACATTTCAAGGATAATAAAAAAATCCATAATTCCCCTAGTGTTATCAATCTCTTTCAAATTAAAATATAAAATTAACATGGCATGATTTTGTTAGTGAGTAAAATGCAAAGGAATTTGTTGATTATTTAAAAAAAATTGATTAATTTAATCGATGTTAAGCAGTTGTGTTTCAAGTCATTACATACTCAATGATTGCAAATTGGTTTTGCGTATGTTTTATGCACAATATGTGTTAACTAGTCTATTATGGTCTAACCGGCTTAGAAGAATTTTCTTTTTATTTTTTATTGACATTAATACAATAATCAAATCATACTTTATTATAAGTCTCTTTTTTGTCTATGATGCTAAAGACAACTTATTATTTTTCAATTTTCCATGGCTATCTTACATATCCAGTTCAGATACATTCCAGTAATTAGTTAATACTACGCATGCTTTCATTTATTTTGTTATAAATGATTTAGCCACACAAAAAAAAAATTCCAATAATGCCTGCTGTTTTTAGGAACTCTTCTCTTGACAAATTCCAATAATTATTTATTTATTTTTAGGTGCGAGGACGGTGGTAGAATAGCGCAACGGATCCTATGTATCACATCTTGTCTCACACCCTATCCCACCCCTCCTAAACTTGCCAAGTGTTCTTTTATTAATCCAATCCTGAAACAACCCAACTCGAACCATGTTTAATTAATTAACCGATTAATCGGGTTGAGAAACTTAATCTCTATAACCAAAATCAATTAAAATAAAAACCCAAAAAACAAAATTAGAGATTAAACAAGGCACACAAAAAAACCCACAAAATTCGGGCAGGACAACAAAGCGCAATTCAACGCAGCAGGCCACGATTTTGGTTTCCCATCAGATTGGTATCCTTCTCAAAAGCTTCATCGCAACGCAGCAGGGCTGTCCGAGTTCATCATCTTCACCATTCAGCTTTGACGAAATATTCACGAACGAAGCTTCGAAGCCCTACATGGAGACTTCTCCATAAGAAACAGGAAGTCTGATGGGAACTGCCTTGGGAGGGTAACAAGAAGTCTCACGGATGAAGCTTTTGAGAAGGATACCAATCTGATGGGAAACCAGAATCGTGGCCTGCTGCGTTGAATTGCGCTTTGTTGTCCTGCCCGAATTTTGTGGGTTTTTTTTGTGCCTTGTTTAATCTCTAATTTTGTTTTTTGGGTTTTTATTTTAATTGATTTTGGTTATAGAGATTAAGTTTCTCAGTCCGATTAATCGATTAATTAATTAAATATGGTTCGAGTTGGGTTGTTTCAGGATTGGATTAATAAAAGGACACTTGGCAAGTTTAGGAGGGGTGGGATAGGGTGTGAGACAGGTGTGGTACAGAGGATCCGTTGCGGTAGAATAGATTTTGGGAAACTCGAAACTCATAAGCAAGCAATGGCATCAACCAACCACATGAATTAAACTACCTACACGAGTTTATGTCGTGGACGGTTAGATATTTAACGGATGAGCTAGCGATGAACAAATATCACACATATATGGTCCTGAAGACTGAAGCCCTAATAGCTGGAAAGAATATCATCGATCTCATTATTAATCAATGAACGTGATCGACGCCTTTCCTTGATCCCTATCACCGGTAAAGTCCAAGCGGCCTCCCTCGCCCCCAATAGTCCACGGCTACGGTCCCATTGCATTATCGTTCCCCAGACAAACAGGCAAGGGCAGCCCAAGAAGTTAATAAAGAGAGAGAGTGCTTGGCATCCGTTAGTGACTGAAGAAGAAGAAGAAGAAGATGGGAGTGGTTGAAGATGCACATAACGTGAAGGTCCTGGGGTCAGGCGAGAAGACCGTCGTCCTTGGCCATGGCTTCGGCACCGACCAATCCCTTTGGAAACATCTCGTACCTCACCTTGTTGATGAGTACCGCGTCGTCCTTTACGACAACATGGGAGCTGGAACGACGAACCCCGACTACTTCGACTTCGAAAGATATGCCTCTCTTGAAGGCTATGCCTATGATTTACTGGCCATTTTGGAGGAGCTCCAAATTCAATCGTGCATCTTTGTCGGCCATTCTCTGTCCTCCATGACGGGTGCAATTGCCTCCATCTTTCGCCCTGATCTTTTCGAGAAACTCATCATGATTGCGGCTTCCCCGCGGTAAAGAAAGTTTCGCTTCCAATCCAATAGTTAGGATTGATTGCAGTGCGTTATGTACTATGACTTAAAAAAAAAAAGAAAAAGTTGCTTATCCTTTTGATTTCTTGAAGGTTCATAAACACTGACGACTACTTCGGAGGGTTTGAGAAAGAAGATGTGGATCAACTCTGCAATGCAATAGAGGCGAATTACAAGTCGTGGTGCTCTGGATTTGCACCCCTTGTGGTGGGGGGAGACATGGACTCGGTTGCCGTCCAAGAATTCAGCAGGACCTTGTTCAACATGAGGCCGGACATAGCACTGAGCGTGTTTCGGACCATATTTACGTTCGACCTCAGGCATTTTCTCTGCCGCGTCACCGTCCCTAGCCATATCGTCCAAAGCACCAAGGACTTGGCCGTACCTTTAGCTGTGTCGGAGTATCTCCACCAGAATCTTGGGGGCCAGTCTCTGGTTGAGGTCATTTCTACGGAGGGTCACCTGCCGCAGTTAAGCTCGCCGGACATCACAATTCCGGTCATTCTCCGACATATTCGACATGATATTGGAAATGAGTAGTGATTTCTGATCAGCGGACGTCGTTTGTACTTGTATTTGTACTAAGCTTCGTAGATGGGCTTTGACTGTGTGCCAGTGTGCGTGTGCGTGCGTTTTTTTTTTTTTTTTTTTGTGAAAAAAATATTTGTAACGTTTGTTTCCATTTTCAATTCCTCTTACAGCTTAGA